AGAGAGAGAGAGAGAGAGAAGAGAGACGAGATGAGGAGAGGAGGAGAGAGGAGACCGAGAGATGAGAGAGAGAGAGAGGAGAGGAGGAGAGAGAGAGGAGAGAGGAGAGAGAGAGAGAGAGAGAGAGAGAGAGAGAAAGAAAGAAAAGAGAGAGAGAGGGAGAGAGAGAGAGTGAGTGAGTGCGAGACGACCGCCTTTCGCCACCTGCCACCGACCAGCAAGGTAGCTCCCAAATCACTTCGTATCAATGTCATATAACCGCAGCGCTGTCAGAAGGACGTCGTGGTCGACTCTATGAAAGGCACGCCTTAGATCAATAGAGGTGGCGGCGACAATGCGCCCAACGTCAATCGTCCGCCCACCGCCCACTCAAATGCGTCGACCAGGGTGTCCTCTGTTGAGTGGCAAGGTCTGTGAGCGTACTGTCATGGAGCTAAAAGAGCATGGGCAACGAGGTGGCACGACAGCTGCATGCACATGACGGGGTTTCAGGGGACTAAACCAAAAAGTGCCGCAAATGTAAAATAAGCTACCTAATAGGCCGTGAAAAAGGACCCCAGGATTTTAAAGTTATGACTATTTTGGAAGCCTTGACAACAAGCCGTCGACCTCACTCCAGCCTTGTCCCGTTTTTAGAGCTGTTCAGGTTTGGTACCAGATCAGGTCTCCGTCCAACAATGCTCGCGTGAAAAGGGCTCGTCTGGGTTTTAGTTTTGCGGTGGAATGTGGTGGAATGCGTTTATTTCAACCGGACGGCCCAAGTAGCCGACGCGCTCTGTAATGGCAATCAGCTGCATAAAGCCCGGCTCACACCTGGTCTAGCCGTCCGGGCCTGGCTGTCCGGTCGTCCGGTCGTCCGGCCGGCCGGTCGGCCGGCCGCCCGGTCGGCCGGTCGCCGGTCGTCTGGTCGTCCGGTTGGCAGGTCGCCAGTCGCCCGGTCGTCCGATTGGCAGGTCGTCGGTCGCCCGGTCGTCCGGTTGGCAGGTCGCCGGTCGTCTGGTCGTCCGGTCGGTCGGTCGCCGGTCGTCTGGTCGTCCGGTTGGCAGGTCGCCGGTCGCCCGGTCGTCCGGTTGGCAGGTCGCCGGTCGCCCGGTCGTCCGGTTGACAGGTCGCCGGTCGTCTGGTCGTCCGGTCGGTCGGTCGCCGGTCGTCTGGTCGTCCGGTCGCTCGGAGCAATGCTGCGCGCAGTGACGGCGCCATCCCTATTTTGCTTGTTACTGAAGGGTGAGCGTTGTTTTCCTCGCTTATTGTTTTTCGCTGCGAGGTAATGAAAGTTTTCGCATTATAAGCATGAATCGTGACAAGGAAGATATGTTGCTTGTGGTGTCACTCAAAAACGATGCTGTCAGACTGGAACCCAGTTAGGGTTCAGGAAGCGCTGGAGACTCGCAGAAAGTTGCGGAATCGTTTCATTATTCACAAGCAAATGGACAGATGTCGAGGAGTGCCATTCTACCTGCCCGTCTTGTTCAACACACGATACGGGTCTTACAGAGATGTTGCATAATGATCAAAAGTGAACAGCATGTGTAATGCTCATTGGAATGACGCTACCCGTCGCCACCAATACCCACAGTTCTTTTAGATATCCAAGATCCAGCCAGGTACCAACAGCCACTGCTGCTGTCGTTACGGTGGAAACTTACATCCACTTGACGTTTTTGCCCCGTAAATTACGTATCCGTTACGTCATTTGTAATAAAATGGTCAGCACGAACAAAGTCAGCTGCGGATGAGCGAGTGATGGTTTTGTACCCGCTAGAATGCAGGTACACAAACGCTTCCTATAACATTGCTGTTAGATTCACTCGTAACCAAACCACTGTTGTGGGACCGAAGCCCTTCTCTTCATGTCATTCATGCACAAGAATCACACGCCCAGACCGGCCCGTATCAATGCACGCCTCGGATTACGGCCCTCCAGTCACCCCGAGGCGCCCGACCCTCGCTCAGTTGGCGGTCGGCTATTTTGGAGGCCAGCCGCACCGACGGCTGCCTTCGCCTGCCGCGAACCCTGTGAGAGACTGGAAACTTGGATACGACTCTCGTCCCTATCGGACGCCTCCCATTCGTTGCTCGCCCACACCGCACGTGTATGGCATGCTCTGATGGTGTCTGGCACGCCTCAGGCAGCCATGCGGGCGCGACAGGAAGGCCGAAAACGTACACTAAGTTTATCTCCGGCGCGCACGGACCCGCACGGCCGGCTATGGATATCGACGGCGGCCGGCGAGCGCTCTGGCTCACAGGGGTCTGGGCCCGTAAGCCTGCCTCTGGGCCGAGCCTTCAGATGTTTCCAGCGCTTTCGGAGTGTTCCGGGCCCGTACGCCGGACGGCCGGACCCCCTGTGAAGCGGGCTCGAGTCAGAACATCGCCCTGTCTACGCCACTGCTCATGAGTCCGCTGTTTTAGTTATGCGTAGGGTTCAAACGTGGGCGGTTTTCAAACTTCGTCAAAGAGAGTAAATGCTTAGCCAGGGTTATTGTTCGATACCTCAGTACGAACCACTTGACATCATCAGTTTCCGAGCAAATCACGCATGCTGCGTACCCAGCTGCCTGATGTAAGAACAGTGGACCTAAATCACATGGCAGCTCAAAACTCCTTTCTACACATTAGGTGCTAAAAATAACTATTTATGTTGGCGTCTAACAGGCGGCCGCGTTGCGTCAGCTGATTCTGCAGAAATCACGCGGTGGCATCGCTGCGCATTACGAAACGCTACTTCCTGCAGATGGAGCCATTCCCAGAAAAATGTTGCCGTCACTAGACTGTTATCACCAGATCTACCTGTTTATGGAACTTATTCAGTTTTATGGATAAACGCACCGTCTGTTTAAGGCGCATGGCGCGTAACGCAATCTGTCATATCGTGTCTCACTCTTATCAGACACTGGACTAAGCGAGGCAAGAGCACACGCGTCAGCTGCCACGCAGCCATCGTCGCAGGTGCGCCGCGCAGCGTGCAACGAGGCCGTGCACGTGTTGGGCCGGCTTAAGTGGTGTGCTGACCCTCGGCAGCCGTCCGCCGCTCAAGGATGCCTGGGCTGTAAGCCGTGCAGCGGCTGTCTGACCCAGTGCGCGGCCCAGTCGTCCGGCGCCGACAGCGGAGTTCGCGCCGGTGGTGGAGCGCGCCCAAGCGGCTCGGCTCAGCCGCGGCTGCCATGGAATAACCGGGCACGTCAAGCTGCGAGTGTGTGTGTGCTGTGTGCTGGGTGTAAGGGGTGGGCGCATGTAGGGGTCGGTGCTGTGGGTGTACTGCTGAGCGAGGTCACGGCTCGTCGGTGAGTACGAGGAGAACTGTGATGCAGGTGTAACGACGATAGGAAGATTGCCTCACGAGCCTTGCAAATTCTTGCGTAACCGTCGAGTGGTCGCTGACTTGCAGGTTGATCGCATCAGTGCAGTGCTCAGAAAGAACGTTAGCACAGCTTGCACGACACGTAACACAAGCAGCTCTATCGTGGCGTGTCCGTAACACATGCGCCCCCAGGAGTCAGCCAACTATCCAAATGGCATTGGTGTATATATGTGTGAAACAGCGGACCGCCACTCTTACACGAGGCCACTCCTGAATCTAAGCGGGTACACGATTCAGATGGGGGAGCTACGGACCCTCAGCAGCACCCCGTGGCGTGCTAAGCCTGCCCACTCGTCTCGCTCCGCCCCCGGCTAGTGACCGCCCTGGCTGCCGATCACAGAGTGCCGCCGGTCACAGAACCCGCTCGTGCGCAGCGATCTGTGGCGCCGCAGAGCCGTCACTCCCAGCCCGCCCCGCCGCCGGCCGGAGCCCCTGCCGCGGGCCGGGGCCGGTGACTAGTGGCCGATCACAGGTACCGCGACGTTAATTGCGCCCGCGCGACCTGTTTTTACAGAGCGGCCCATGGCCTGCTAGCGGTCGTCCCACCTGGCTGTCAGTAGTCAACAGACAGGCGGCGGCGACGGGTTCATCAGTGATCGGCCGGCGATCAGCTGCCGGCCGTCAGCGCGTGACAGCCGCCTGACCCGGTCAGCAGCCGGCCGTCAGCGCGCGACAGTCGTCCGACCCGGTCAGCAGCCGGCCGTCAGCGCGCGACAGTCGTCCGACCCGGTCAGCAGCCGGCCGTCAGCGCGTGACAGCCGCCTGACCCGGTCAGCAGCCGGCTGTTGTGCCCTGCTGACAGCATGCTGGCTCGGGGCGCCTCCGCGGGTCTGCGGCTGCTGCGCCAGGTGAGTGACTGGTGGGACGAGAGCAGTACTGACGTGGGCCGCTCTCAGGCGCCAGGTGAGTGACTGGTGGGACGAGAGCAGTGCTGGCGTGGGCCGCTCTCAGGCGCCAGGTGAGTGACTGGTGGGACGAGAACAGTACTGACGTGGGCCGCTCTCAGGCGCCAGGTGAGTGACTAGTGGGACGAGAGCAGTACTGACGTGGGCCGCTCTCAGGCGCCAGGTGAGTGACTGGTGGGACGAGAGCAGTACTGGCGTGGGCCGCTCTCAGGCGCCAGGTGAGTGACTGGTGGGACGAGAGCAGTACTGGCGTGGGCCGCTCTCAGGCGCCAGGTGAGTGACTGGTGGGACGAGAGCAGTACTGGCGTGGGCCGCTCTCAGGCGCCAGGTGAGTGACTGGTGGGACGAGAGAGTGATGTGATGTGATGTCAAGAAGTGATGCTGATCGACGCGCTCAGGACTGAATCCTTCAGCCTTTTATCTTTTAGCATATTTGCTTTTGACTGCCCCGTCAGGTATTTTCGACCTTGTCTGTGATTACGGGATTCCTCAGGACACAAAGACATGTCGCTGCGTTGCGTGGTGAACTCGCGCTCATAAGCTCTCCTTTCTTCGCTCATGCTTCATCCTGCGGCTCTCGCAACGCCCCGTTTATCCGAGATCGGCTGCATGTAGCAGTCATGAGAGGGAGTAACTGCCCCGCTGGTGAGACCCCCTCCGAGTGACTGCACACACTCAGAGGGGGTCCCTGTTGAGACCCCCTCTGAGTGACTGCATACACTCAGAGGGGGTCCCTGGTGAGACCCCCTCTGAGTGACTGCATACACTCAGAGGGGGTCCCTGGTGAGACCCCCTCCGAGTGACTGCATACACTCAGAGGGGGTCCCTGTTGAGACCCCCTCTGAGTGACTGCACACACTCAGAGGGGGATCCCTGGTGAGACCCCCTCCGAGTGACTGCACACACTCAGAGGGGGTCCCTGTTGAGACCCCCTCCGAGTGACTGCACACACTTAGAGGATGGTCCCTGGTGAGACCCCCTCCGAGTGACTGCACACACTCAGAGGATGGTCCCCGGTGAGACCCCCTCCGAGTGACTGCGCACACTCAGAGGGGGTCCCTGGTGAGACCCCCTCCGAGTGACTGCATACACTCAGAGGGGGTCCCTGGTGAGACCCCCTCCGAGTGACTGCACACACCACGAAGGGGTCCCTGTTGAGACCCCCTCCGAGTGACTGCACACACCACGAAGGGGTCCCTGTGCGAGCTAGGTCTCGACGGAGGACTCCCAGAGGTATGTAGTCTTGCCCAACATGATTCACTCTCCTGCATCCACTAGCGCTGAAATGGTCACTGGTGGCCAAAGTGACGCTAATCCAAACTGAGGCATACAAAAAGTCAGACTGTCTACCTCTTGACAGCACAGATAATAGGTCCGAACTTCCACCGTGTTTTCGACTGCCAAGAGCGAGAAATGTCAAAGAAACCAGGACCTGGACGACGCCACATCTTTAGTTGTTTTTTATAAGGGCTGTCATATTTTCATATTTGTAACAGTTTTGGCTACACCAGACTACTTTATTTCCCTTTTCATTACTTTTCGGACTAATCATATTGTATTCTGTTTGAACTTCAGAGCGCCGCAGCTGCCTGCGTTTCCACTGCGCGAGGCGTGTCCAGTGAAGCTACTTTTGAAGTTCAGGTAAGCTCATTCGTCTGGAAGCTGGTCCGTGTCATGAAGCCGGTATGGAACTGCCGCAAACGCCTTACATCCGTATTTTTCTTTCATTTACAGCGAGTGCAGAGCTGTTGATGTAATTTATATAGTCTTCAATGTAGCCGGAAAGGACGCATTTCGTCCGTGAATAGAATGTGTAGGCGTGCTCGTCTTTTTGCGCGGATTCGGTATGGGATGAAATGTGTGTTAATTGTTCATAAATCAGATGTTTATTTTTGTCAAGAGCTAGGAATACGTTGGGTGTTCTTCAATTTGTTATATATATATATATATATATATATATATATATACATCTCTCTCTCTCTCTCTCTCTCTCTCTCTCTCTCTCTCTCTCTCTCCTCTCTCTCTCTCTTCTCTCTCTCTCTCTCTCTCTCTCTCTCTCTCTCTCTCTCTACCTAGGTACATATGATCAAACTAGTCAAATGTCAAGCTTTTTGCCGAAATTGTTGTAGTGACGTCTCGAATTTTTTCGGTTCATAGCCAACCGATTTTAGTCCAATAAATATGTCTGCGAATGGGGAAGTACTTGGCCAGCGTTTGCACAATTGGTCTGGCGGCTTAAACCAGCGTGTCAAGTTAGCCAGCTTCCTTAGTTTAAATCAATAACATCAATACATCATCACAAAGGCCTCTGGATATAAGTAACTATTTCACTGAAATCAGTTTGAAATTTGAAATTTCGTTGGGTGCTTGTTGGTCATGACGGGGTGGTACCATATGAGCTACAATTTTACCACTTGTCATTAGTTTGCATAATCAGAGATATCGTTACGTTAACCTTTGTAAGCATCGGCCTTGATCGATCGGTTGACTTGGGCACGTCACGCACTCATGCCTATGCCCGCAAGCTGCAGGCCTCCACACCCAACAACCAACAGCTTACTAAAGCCTAAACAACTGATGTGCAAATGTCGTCAATCGGCCGTGTTCCTGCTGCTGCGGCGGCTTGACGCCCTGCCTGTAGTGTCGATCGCCGGCACCAGATGTCTCTGTGGGCAGCCCCTGGGGGAGCACCTGGTCGAGACCGGGCCGTCCCGGTCGGCGCGCTGCAGCTCCGAGCAGGCCCTGGCCCTGCACACGGCCATGCAGACGGTCCGCCAGATGGAGACAGCCGCAGACCAGCTGTTCCGCGAGCACAGGATTCGCGGTATGCTCCATCTCTACTCGGGCCAGGTGCGTGATGATGCTGGGTACACGGGCGCGACAGGTCATGGCGGGGCCACGAGGAGGCAAGGATGTGTAGTGTCTCGCATTTGCTCTATCCCATTAATCTGCTTCACCTGCTCTCCTTTCCTCACTCATGCTCCATCCTGCATCCACGCGACGCTCCGTTTATCTGAGTCAAGCGGCATGTACCAGCTATGAGTGGGTATTATTGCCCCCTAGCGGAGGCCAAGCGCATCCCGAATCCCGGGCCAAGCGCATATCCCGAAGATAGGTCCCTGAGCGCGTTAACTCTCGACGGAGGACTCCCAGGTGCATGTGTTCTACTCCACCACTATCCACTCTCTTTCGTCCCAAAGCAATGAAATGATAACGAAAAAACCAAAGGGCCTTTCATCCAAGCCGAACCAAACCAAACCAAACCAAACCAAACCAAACCAAACCAAACCAAACCAAACCAAACCAAACCAAACCAAACCAACCAAACCAACCAAGCCAAACCAACCAACCAAACCAACTAAGCCAAGCCAAGCCAAGCCGAGTCAAGCCAAGCCAAGCCAAGCCAAGCCAAGCCAAGCCAAACCAAACCAAACCAAACCAAGCCAAACCAAACCAAACCAAACCAAACCAAACCAAACCAAACCAACTTTGCCGACACGTGCAGTGAGAGGCTTCCCAACGGCTTGGACGGTACACGTTGAAGACCAGCCAACTGCTGATGCAAAATATGGCTGTTGAGTTCCTGGACCAACTGAAACTCCGGCGCCACATGTGCCGCAGGAAGCGACCTGCGTGGGTATCCAGGCGGCCATGCTGGACGGCGACTCGGTCATCACCTCATACCGGTGTCACGGCTGGGCCCACATGATGGGACTGACGCCGCGTGAGGTAGGTCGGGTCCTAGGTCAGCCGTCTCCGGTAGGTCAGCCCTAGGTCAGTTCTAGGTCGTTCGACACTGGTCACCCTGGTCAGCACTGTGACACGTCGGCATGGCTAGCGCAGCAGACCATTGGAAAGATTGATATGACAGTCCGGACTGCTTGGGCTCGCGTAGCAGACCAGTGGAAAGAGTGGTCTGACAGTCCGGACTGCTTTGGCTCGCGTAGCACACCAGCGGAAAGAGTGGTCTGACAGTCCAGCTTGCACGACTGGCGGAGCAGACCATTGTAAAGATTGGTCTGACAGTCCGACCTGCTTCGGCTCGCGGCCGACCTCTCTGGAATCAGTACGTGACGCTGGACGAGCCGCGAAGGAATGGTGGTATGGCTTGATTGGCAGACTTCCCCAGGCTCGCTTGACGAGGCACGGTGACGCCACACAGCGAGATACAGTCCAACAGACGGACAGTGATGACGCGAGGCATTCGGCCTGAGACCTGACATCCCAGCGTTTGGAACAGACGGACTGTTGGACAAGGGGCCGGACAGTCGGGCAGGTGCGCAGACAGACCACAAGCCAGGTGGACAGCGATCGGTACAGACGGACAGTCGGGTAAATGGAGCAGACGGTCGGGTAGGTGGACAGGTAGACCCCAGACCAGGTGGACAGCGATCGGAACTGACAGAATGTTAGGCAAAAGGACCGGACATTCGGGCATGAGGACGGGCAGGCAGTTGTACACACGAAAAGACTGGCCGGCCTTCTGACCGGGTCCGTTGCCGCGCCCGCAGATCCTGCTGGCCCTCACGAGCCGGGCCACCAGCCGCACAAACGGCAAAGGCGGCTCTATGCACCTCTACTCACCCGATCACCGCTTCTACGGTGGTATGGGTATTGTTGGATCTCAGGTGAGCGTCCCTGCCGGCCACGGCTCTGGTTGTGCCCAGCTCGGATGAGAGTCGCTACCGGCCCGGCTCTGGGTGTCTAGCTCGGGTGAGAGTCTCTGCCGGCTCCGGCTCTGACCAGCTCGGGTGAGAGTCGCTGCCGGCTCCGGCTCTGACTAGCTCGGATGAGAGTCGCCGCCGGCTCCGGCTCTGACTAGCTCGGATGAGAGTCGCTGCCGGCTCCGGCTCTGACTAGCTCGGGTGAGAGTCGCTGCCGGCTCCGGCTCTGACTAGCTCGGGTGAGAGTCACTGCCGGCTCCGGCTCTGACTAGCTCGGGTGAGAGTCGCTGCCGGCTCCGACTCTGACCAGCTCGGGTGAGAGTCGCTAACGGCTCCGGCTCTGACCAGCTCGGGTGAGAGTCGCGGCCGGCTACGGCTGACTAGCTCGGATGAAGTCCCGCTGCCGGCTCCGGCTCTGACTAGCTCGGGTGAGAGTCGCTGCCGGCTCCGACTCTGACCAGCTCGGGTGAGAGTCGCTAACGGCTCCGGCCCTGACCAGCTCGGGTGAGAGTCGCTAACGGCTCCGGCTCTGACCAGCTCGGGTGAGAGTCGCTGCCGGCTCCGGCTCTGACTAGCTCGGGTGAGAGTCGCTGCCGGCTCCGACTCTGACTAGCTCGGGTGAGAGTCGCTGCCGGCTCCGGCTCTGACTAGCTTGGATGAGAGTCGCTGCCGGCTCCGGCTCTGACTAGCTCGGGTGAGAGTCGCCGCCGGCTCCGGCTCTGACCAGCTCGCGTGGGAGTCGCCGCCGGCTCCGGCTCGGGGAGTGGGACACATTCATCGCGGGTATAGGGCCCTGTGTGCAGCGGTGAAAGCCGCCCAAAGGTCTGAAGCATCAGCAATAGCATGGCATAAGCAAAGGCGCCGCTTATAGCCTGCGGCCATGATGCGCGTCCGACGGGTATCAAAGACGCCTATGTGAACACACCAATGGATTTGGTAGTGTTCATGTTTGGAGCCATATCTTGTTACAGAACCTCACCGTTTGGTGAGGTCGGACGTTGCCGGTGGTGACTGGGATATGTTTGCCGTTTACAGATGTACAGCCGGTAGTGATGACACCGTGTGGTGAGGTCGGACGTTGCCGGTGGTGACTGGGATGTGTTTGCAGTTTACAGATATACAGCCGGTAGTGATGACACCGTGTGGTGAGGTCGAGCGCTGACGGTGGTGACTGGGATGTGTTTGCAGTTTACAGATGTGCAGCCGGTAGTGATGATACCGTGTGGCGAGGTCGGACGTTGCCGGTGGTGACTGGGATGTGTTTGCAGTGCCCGATCGGAGTCGGGATCGCGTTCGCACACAAGTACAACAATACTCGCTCAGTGTGCATCACCATGTACGGAGAGGGCGCTGCCAACCAGGTTAGTGTAAAACGTCGAAAACGTCGCGGTGCTGTAATGCTGATGATGCCCATCGTAGGCAGTGAGGCCATTATGCTGTACATGCCACAAACCATCCCTCAGTTTTGGTGGGGAAGACCGTAGATGCACTCTCCTGAGATGCCGAACTGTTTTGTTCAGTTATACTTGTTCTCGAACAAACCATACCTGTGCACATTGTTCGTAGCTCACGCAGAAAGCTCTGTAAAGCCGCCATCAGCCGTTCCCTGAAGTCGGAGAACACGAACACCAGCAGCCGTTGTCTCGCCGACACGCCAGACTGCCGCAGGGCCAGCTGTCCGAGGCCATGAACCTGGCGGCCCTCTGGCGACTGCCGGTCGTCTTCGTCTGCGAGAACAACCACTACAGCTACTACACGGCCGACGACCACGTCACGGCCAACACCAACTACTACTGCCGTGGTGACATAGTGCCCGGCGTCAGGGTGGGTCTGGCGGGACCGGTGGTCACGTGGTGCCGGACGTCAGGGTGGGTCTGGCGGGGCCGGTGGTCACGTGGTGCCGGACGTCAGGGTGGGTCTGGCGGGACCGGTGGTCACGTGGTGCCGGACCGTCAGGGTGGGTCTGGCGGGGCTGGTGATCATGTGGTGCCCGTGGTCAGGGTGGTCTGACGAGGCTAGTGATCTTGTGGTGCCCGGCGTCAGGGTGGGTCTGGCGGGGCTGGTGATCATGTGGTGCCCGGTGTCAGGGTGGGTCTGACGAGGCTAGTGATCTTGTGGTGCCCGGCGTCAGGGTGGGTCTGGCGGGGCTGGTGATCCTGTGGTGCCCGGTGTCAGGGTGGGTCTGACGAGGCTAGTGATCATGTGGTGCCCGGTGTCAGGGTGGGTCTGGCGAGGCTAGTGATCTTGTGGTGCCCGGCGTCAGGGTGGGTCTGGCGGGGCCGGTGGTCACGTGGTGCCGGACGTCAGGGTGGGTCTGGCGGGACCGGTGGTCACGTGGTGCCGGACGTCAGGGTGGGTCTGGCGGGGCTGGTGATCATGTGGTGCCCGGTGTCAGGGTGGGTCTGACGAGGCTAGTGATCTTGTGGTGCCCGGCGTCAGGGTGGGTCTGGCGGGGCTGGTGACCGACGCTCTTAATGAACACCAATTTGGTGATTATGCACATGGTGTCAGGAATGTCTGAAGGTTTGGTGAAATTGGCCTAGGGTGGATTTTTCACATGCTGTAAGTTTTTTGTAATGAGTTGCTGCCTGCAACGTCACGGGCGTGTGTCATAAACACGGGTCCACTTTATATGCTTTGTGCCCCCCCCCCCCCCCCCTACTGCCCCGATGTGAGCTTGAGGCCCTCAATGCTCTTTTGACCCCTCATCCCCCGAATCATGAATCCTGGACCAAGGGAGAGCAGAAAATGTTCCTTGAATGCAAAAAAGATTGATGCATGTTTATCAGTGTCATGCTCATTGTGGACCCCATGGTATCCTGTCGGCGCCTTATATGTGTTTGCCATTCCAACTCATTTATATTTTTGGTCACTGCAAATATTGACAGGTTTTTTTCGTGAAATAGCACCTGAACCTTGACAAAAAAGACTACGATATGTGTCAGTTTTTTAAAGTATGAGGTGACTAGCTTTAAGGTATTAGTGTTTGATGGGATTGGGCATTTACTTGCCGCGAATGCCGCACGTCGAAAACGTTACACCGACATCACGACCATTACCGTCATTCAGGGTCTCACATCTGGGCATCCAACACACGGCACCGTGATCGAAGCTGCCCGACACAGGTGGCTGAACTGAAAAACTTCGATGACATGTACCGAGCGAAAGTATGAGAGAAACTTTCCGGCGGGTGTCAGTGTTCACCGCAGCGAATAGAGATCTTCCTTGACGTCTGTGACTAACCGACGTTGCTCAAAAGCAAAAGTTGTTTCTTAAAAACTGCTTCCGTGTCAAGTTTCTCAAAAGCTAAGTATAGGGGCGTCAAAGTCAGTCAAAGTCAAAGTCAAAGTCCCAAGACGACACTTGCATGCTTGAACCTCGGGAGAAGATTACGGCTCAGCAACAATTCTTGTATTCTGAGACCCGATTGGTAACTTGTTGTAGCTAACGGCTGGTATTTCTTGCGTCGTGCTCCACTGCCGCGTATCAGAATACCACGCGTTCATTTAGTGGTGTGAGATCTCGAACGAGCGTTTCTTAATTTTTTAACCGATTTCGAACGCTATGCTTCTTTTTGCGTCCATGCACTACCCATGGGCATTGACTACAGGAGGCCTTACATGCCATATGTGCATATTTTACAGCTGATTGACATAGGTGTGGCGAACCCTCATCCCAGCTGGCTGCGCTGGGGTCTCTGGGCATGATTGAACTGGGATAGACTTTCGACTAGCACTACCAGCCCGTGCTGCTCTGAGGCCGTGCAGACCACTCGATGGTACAGCGGCATTCACCTGTTTGTACAGCTTGCCATTTATAAACGGGAGTCTCGCAAGTCGGCACTTTGGTTGACCTGTCTACAAGTTCATTGCAAACTGATGTACTGTTAAACAGGGCGTGCGCATGGTATTACTATGGGGGGGGGGGGGGGTAGCTCAAGAATTAAACCAAGTTAACACGCCGAAGCCGCGCAATTTCATATTTATTCGGCGGTATATCTCTCACCTGGAAGCACCGCAAAAAGGGTGCCGAGGAATTAAATCGGCACATTTTGCATGGTGTATCCCGGAGCGGAAGAAATGTTGGCGTGGTGATATCACCATTAGCCTAGATTCAAAACGTCCAGTTTTCTCAACATAATCATTGCTTGCTCGATAACATCATGAAACAAGCACCCCTCGCAAACCGAAAGTCGCCTCTTTTCTGCGGGCTCCCAGCTCATGATGCTACAGCATCACGAGTGCAAGGCATTTCTTGCTTGGATCAACTTCAAACTCACGTCAAGGCGCTAGTCGTGCTCTTGTCACGATAACCACTCTGATGATTCGTTTGACCACCAGCCTTTATCTACTCTGTCCTTCCAGTTGTCGACAGGTCTGTTGGTGCTCAGGCCGTGGACGTTTAGTTTTAAGGTTCAGTGCACTCATAAGTATAGGTACCTCCTGGCAGTGCAGATGATACAGTTTCCGCAGCCTTTCAGTGGCAAATGTATTATTTCTCAAAAGCTAAGTGTAGGAGCGTCAAAGTCCCAAGGCGACATTTGCATGCTTGAACCTCGGAAGAAGATTACGGCTCCGCGACAATTCTTGTATTCTGATATCCGATTGACATGTTGCTGCAGCCAACGGCTGGTACTGACACGTGTAGACTCGGGAGGAGTGCACATGATGCAGTTTCCGTAGCCTTTCAGTGGGAAATGTATCATGTGCACCCCGCCCTAGTCGGCACGTGTCAGGCCACACCATGCTGCATAGAACTGCCTTTTTGCTTCCCGGGCCACCTACCATGATTGACAAGCGAGACCGGTTCCCGGTGATGGTATCGTACCGTCTCACTAGAATGCAGACTTTGAAATACACTCAGTGCTAGGCTTCCCACATAGCTGCGACTTCACACGGGCTCTGAGACGGGAGGTGACTTTTTCGTAAAGCATACTTTTATGAGTTGATTTTAAAAACATATTTTTAGACCTTGACATTCGAAACACGAATTTGAGTAGCAGAAATCCGAAGAGAAATTAGGTTTGGGGGCAGGTTAAGTCAGCCAACCATCCAAGTTTTAAGATTCACATCCGTGGTTTCAAGGGTTTGTGTGGGTTTACACTTGAGTGTGCGTATGACGTAATTACTTCAGACGTAGTGGACGGTACCTTCGGACGATATTTGTCAGCGAAGAGATGGCCCTCTACAAATGGGGAATCACACAATAGATGGGCTCAATATCCAATATTTCATAGCTGCGTGAAATTGTTCCGAAAACGTTACGCAAGAACGAATGCTTTACGTCGTCGCCCGGTGCCATGTTTGGCAAGTCTAAGCCGCACCACTGGGACGAAAGAGTGCAGCTGGGAAGTACCCAACTTCCACCTGGTAGGCCTGGGTTCGATTCATCTCTAACGTATGGCATCTGGGCGTTTGTATGCTTATTATACGATCACGTAGTGGCCAACATCTCACTGAGGGTTGTGTGTCCATGTTGACTGCATAACCCTACAAAATTTAATGAAAATAATCAAACTAACAACCCCTCTCAGTTCTTGCACTTGGGGCGATGCTGTGTGGTCTTCTTTTGGGCCAGAATTTGGCAGTTGTCATACGTTTGCGTCCGCCCAGATCAGATGAGTGAGAAACCAGGCAAAAACTGATGCCCGGTGTGTAGCTGTGGCGATTTGAGCGTTGTCGGGTGCCAACAGGTGGACGGCATGGACGTGCTGGCGGTCAGAGAGGCTGCACAGTGGGCCACCGACCTGTGCAGAGCAGGACGGGGGCCAGCCGTGCTGGAGTCACTGACGTACAGGTGAGTCAGGGGCCATCGACCTGTGCAGAGCGGGACGGGGGCCAGCCGTGCTGGAGTCACTGACGTACAGGTCAGTCAGGGGCCACCGACCTGTGCAGATGCTGGAGTCACTGACGTACAGGTCAGTCAGGGGCCACCGACCTGTGCAGAGCGGGACGGGAGCCAGCCGTACTGGAGTCAGTGAGGTACAGGTCAGTCAGGGGTCATCGACCTGTGCAGAGCGGGACGGGGGCCAGCCGTGCTGGAGTCACTGACGTACAGGTCAGTCAGGGGCCACCGACCTGTGCAGAGCAGGACGGGGGCCAGCCGTGCTGGAGTCACTGACGTACAGGTCAGTCAGGGGCCACCGACCTGTGCAGAGCAGGACGGGGGCCAGCCGTGCTGGAGTCACTGACGTACAGGTCAGTCAGGGGCCACCGACCTGTGCAGAGCAGGACGGGGGCCAGCCGTGCTGGAGTCACTGACGTACAGGTGAGTCAGGGGCCACGGTCTTGTGAAGGACGGAATGGGTTACTGTCATACTGGAGTCATTGGGGTGCAGTTCAGTCAGAGGTCATGGTCATCAATTGTTTTCATCTTCAATCGTTACTTTCGATGGCTCCGGCCAGAGAACGCTCGGCAAGAAGAGCTCATCAGTAAATTGCCTTAGCGGAAAGAGTTTTTGACGAGCAAGACCAAGAGCTTCATGTCACTATACTTGCTATAGTTTTAATTGCTGGATCGCAGCGAAAAAAGATCATATATCTATATCTTGCGTCATTTGTGTGATGCTCGTGATACTTTGGGATTCTTATTTAACAGATATACTTTGGCCAGGAGATCATGGATCCAATAAGATTGAGCATGTGGACCAGCTTCGTTTCAGTCCCGCGGTATCTCGCCGGCTGTTCGGCTTCGTTACTCCGCAGTCCGCAAGATGTCACGGCGAGCGTGCAGACGGGCACACGGCCACCATGGCGGCCAGGCGACGCGGCGGAGTCACGGCGAGCGTGCAGACGGGCACACGGCCACCATGGCGGCCAGGCGACGCGGCGGAGTCACGGCGAGCGTGCAGACGGGCACACGGCCACCATGGCGGCCAGGCGACGCGGCGGGGTCACGGCGAGCCTGCAGACGGGCACACGGCCACCATGGCGGCCAGGCGACGCGGCGGGGGTCTCTGAGTCACGGGTCCGCCGGTCGGCAGGTTCTCGGGTCACTCGGTGGCTGACCCCGGCAAGCTGTACCGGCCCGAGGAAGAGGTGCAGGAGGCCATGGCACATGACCCCATCGCCGTCTTCCGACAACGCGTGCTGGCGGCTGGACTGCTGACCGAGCAGCAGCTTGAGGTGCCCACTCGCCAGTGGGAGAGATGTGGTGCAAATGATGATGCAATCGCAAAACCCCTTCTTAAGCAAATCTGAAGCATACACCGAGTCAAAAACTTCGTTTTGTATGATATGTCATAACGTACTTTACGATAAGAACCTAATTCCAAAGTAATTGTTCTCTCTATGCATGTGTCCGACGCATTCGTTGCTTTTTCTTTCTTCCCATCTTTCCTTATCTGTCTTATCTGTCTGCCCACATTTTCTTTTATCTTCCCATTCGACCATTTTCGATCCTCTGTTTAATCTAGGCCCATGCTCGTGTTCCCATTTGTTATCTTCGCGAGAACACCTTATGTCTAAAGGAAGCATTGTTTGTGTCGTCGGTTCCATTCTAAATCACTTTAGGTCGTATCAGACCCTGATATTCCTTACGGACGTCTTGGGGATGGTATGGATGGGCTTGTTCTAGCGCTTTAGACCGTCTTGGCAACTGGGGTTACAGCCATGGGGACAAAACCCTCCTCGAGACGCGGGCGCTACCTTCCGCTGTTTACCTCGGCTTGCATGTGTAATCACCGTGATGCATGGCACGTGCCACGCGTCTGTCGGAGTCGTCGATGGTAGTCTTTAGATATCGATGGCTCCAGATGACCAGGCTCGCTCGCCAACCGGCAGTCAGCCTGCCGACCCTGACCAGGGACCTATAGCCGCCCTGCCGACCCTGACCAGGGACCTGCAGCCGCCATGCCGACCCCGATCAGAGGACCTGCAGCCGCCCTGCCGACCCTGACCAGGGGACCTGCAGCCGCCCTGCCGACCCTGATCAGGGGACCTGCAGCCGCCCTGCCGACCCTGACCAGGGGACCTGCAGCCGCCCTGCCGACCCTGACCACAGGGACCTGCAGCCCGCCCTGCCGGACCCCTGATCAGGGGACCTGCAGTCACCCTGCCGACCCCGCTCAGAGGACCCTATTAGCCGCCCTGCCGGACCCTTGATTCAGGGAACCTGCCAGCCGCCCTGTCGGCCCATGATCAGGGCACCTGCAGCCGCCCCTTGATGCCCGATCCCCTGTTCCCGGCAGGAGGCGGACCGCCGAGGTGACGCGCGTTATAGCCGAGGCTTCGCTAGCCAGCCCACGCTCCGACCCGGTGGTTGTCCGTTCGAGCAGCTGGCGCCACAACGTTCGACCCCTGGCCGACGACCTGGGCTGCGGCGAGGTTCGCGGCGTACACCCCCTTCTGGCCGCTGCGACACCGCGTGACTGGCCGGACCACGCGCAGGGACTGAGAGGCTGGGTCGTGCCCGAGGCCTGAAGCGGCGGTCACGTGTGACAGTTGTGGGTAGGGCTGCCACCGGGTCGGGCGCTATAGGCATCGGCAGCGAGGCCCTGCCGATATGAAGACGGCGAGCGTGGACGGTGATTCGGAGCCCAGATCGCGTGTTGGAGTCGTGTACAGAGCCACGAATGACAGGAATGCCGTGCGAGTGGCGAGCGTGGCAGGAAAATTTCGCGGACTGACCCGAATGAAACTACGCACCTGTGAGAGCTGACTGCGATTGGGCGAGCAGTGCGTGCCAGGTGGGGCGTTGACGTGCCCGTGATTAGACGAGTGACGCGGATCATGCCCACATGGTGCGTCAAGCCGATGCACGACTCTGGACCGGTATTGCCACGCGATGTAGCAGGCCAGATGTTCTCTTTCTGGGTTACGCCGTGTCCACCGAATGTACGCGGTGGACTGGTGGCAGCCAGTTTTTGTCTGAAAACCTCATGCGGTGGTTGTGAGCATCTTCCCCTAGGTATTTGCCTACGGCCGGTTTTATGGATTTGGGAGGATTTGTGACTAATGGAATGCGATTTTGCATTTTTCGCACGTTTCTAGGGAGATGTCAGACGCTGTATATTTTATATGTATGCGATAGATATACATATCACATCATTTCGATATCACGCAAGATCAATAGACGTTTTTTAAGTAAAATCGGTGTTTAACATCCGCTCGTTTCGGTGTCAATTTGACCCCCCCCCCTCCGCTCAGGGCTTTCCGGAATGATTTCCGAGCGGCGCGTCGTACGGATTGTTTGGCATCAAATATTCAGATGTACCTGGTAAGGTCAATGACCTGCGACAGGTCAAAGTCAGGTCATGGATTAAGCGAAGACAATTTTTAATGACTTGTTAAATGTGATGCAGCAACGGAGTGTTGCACGAATCCATGTATCTTTGAGATAGTTTCATTTGAGATAGTTTTAGGACAGCATTTTGTTTTTTGGAACATACTGTCCAGCGTACTCAATGACGCTTATTCAAATGCAAAGATCAAAGCAGTCTTGTACGATTTTGGTCATCACGACCTCGGAAAGGTCACACATCACAAAAGCTAAATGAGCACCAGAGACCTTTTGCCTAGATCACGCGTCTGGCCTATTATTTGCCTATACATATCTGCCCTATATATTTGCATGAGAAGGCTTAGGAGCACTTCGCACATCAATCTGGAGTTTGCCCCTGCATGATCTTACTTGATCTAAGGTAATGATCCAGACCTTACATTTTAAAAAGTGAGTTAACGTACACGCCAACATCCTCTGAATTTAGTGTTTCCAGCTCTCCGTTAACGAGATCCCAGGGATTGACCCCCACCATCAGTGCGAAGGGTATTCAACCAGCCACCCGGGCGCGTGTTAAATCGGTCATGAACTGGACTGATTGGACGCTCTCGGCCACAGCTGGAGCGGGATGACTGTGATCGAGAGCGGGCTGTATCACTCCTATCCACATCATCACATCGCGACGCTCTTGGCCACAGCTGGAGCGGGATGATTGTGATCGAGAGCGGGCTGTATCACTCCTATCCACATCATCACATCGCGACGCTCTTGGCCACAGCTGGAGCGGGATGATTGTGATCGAGAGCGGGCTGTACCACTCCTATCCACATCATAACATCGCGACGCTCTCGGCCACAGCTGGAGCGGGATGACTGTGATCGAGAGCGGGCTGTATCACTCCTATCCACATCATCACATCGCGACGCTCTTGGCCACAGCTGGAGCGGGATGATGGTGATCGAGAGTGGGCTATATCACTCCTATCCACATCATCACATCGCGTCCACAGCCCATGATCGCACGCACAGCTCGTCTACTCCGTGCCAGTTTCCGCTTGGCGGAAGAGCAAAAAATAAAACTTTGAGATACAGCTCGTTTAAGTTTATTAAAGACTAAACCCTGAGACCGCGGAGTGACAACCACACGCGGGGCTGAAAGGGAACCGTGAAAGCATACTTAACCTAAGGTTAAACGATGTCGAGGACGTCTAAGAACGAGGATTGCATTAAAGCTCGTGAGACGTGAAACCATCATTCACTTTTGCTGAAATGATAATCCGAACAGTCGAAATTTGAGTTCAATGTGTCATACGGTAAAGAGCTGAGAACAATTTCGCGCAGTAAAACAGTCCTGGTGCACATTCGACCGGGCGCCGAAATACCTCCACCGGACCGGTACAGGACGGTCCAGAGGACACTCAAACGCTACGTGCATAAACTAACCTGAGAATAAACATTCGGTGCGAGGATCCACAAGATTAAATACTACCAGCCTAAATGAGAACCATCACACATCGCAAACGCTATAATGGATTTCCACACGTCGGTTCAGTGCTAAACGCGCAATTAACCAACGAAAACTCATGAACAAACTAACCACTAGATACGAACCAATAGAATAATCACAGCACACATATCGTTGCGAGTGAAGGCGCTATGCCCTACGAGCAGCAGGCAACGCCAAGTGGACGTTCACTTTCAGGCTGGGTTTCGCGTGCACAACAAGGAATAGTACCGCGCTGTTGGTGGTCTGTACCCTGCCCGCAACGTAAATACAAATTCTCAAGGCTTTTTACAAACTCACGGAATCACAACAGTTGAACAACGGGACTGAGCACTCCACACAGCGTGAGACCTACACAGCAGGTCGGGACCGCTGAAACACTTGAGATAAAACAATACAATGCGAGGGGTCGAGGGGTGGTACAATGCAATGGGTACTACACATAACATGGCGATGATTATGACATTAAAGCGACATGAAATTCCTGCATGGCAATGACTTCCTATCATTAAATGTTCCCAGGTGGGCCATGCCGGTGAACACATCGTGATTGCATTGATATGGCGACGACGTCTTCAGGAACACATCATCCCTGCTGCCACCTGCCGCCGCCGCGAACGACTAGTCTTCGGAGACACATCGTCCCTGCTGCCACCTGCCGCCGCCCGGAACGACTAGTCTCCGGGAGCACATCATCCCTGCTGCCACCTGCCGCCGCTGGGAGCAACTAGTCTTCGGGGAGCATATCGTTCGCCTCTTCCTTTATGACCCCCATGCCGGCGTCGTACGTCACGTTCTCCTCCCTGGGGTCATACCAGGTGACTCTGCGTGAGACAGCGGCGGGCGGGGAGACCGGATACGTCGGTGACATTTCGAGAGCTTCGAGACAGAACAGTGAAGGCGAAATGATATCAAGTTAGAGGCGGAGAGCAGGAACAGACTGCTGCTCCATATAGTCTGCAATCTTGTAAGCAGGTCGCAAACCTCTTTGCTTCACATTTCTCACTTCCTTACTTCACAGACACACTTAAATCCAACAAATCAAACCACATCCTCAATCGTCACTCCGTCCAGAGCCAGCGGTTGGTCAGCAGCGCAGCGTGCGTGGTGAGAAGCGTTAGTGCATGCAGCAGCCGCAGAAGCCTCACCGCGACCGAACAAGCGACGCGGCGGCGCGCGCCGCCCGCGCGGCGGCCGCGTCCGCGCTAGCATGCGGCCGGAGCATGCATGCGGGCCGGAGCGGCGTGGCGATCCCCGTCAGCGTTGTCTGGCCAGCAGGCGGGCGGGCGGGCGGCTAGCAGCGGGCCGGCGGTCGTCACAGCTCGTCTCGCTCGGCTGACCTCTCGTCCTCGCCGTCGGCGTCGTCGTCAGCGTCGGCGTCGGCGCGGCAGGCGGCGGCGGCGCGGCGCATCGCCTCCAGCGACGGCGCGTCCAGCCCGTCGTCACAGACGCTCGGACGCCGCGAGGCGCACGGCGTGGCCACCGGCGTCGGCACGGCCGACACATGGCGCACGCGCACCTGTGGGCCGCGGCGACCGGTCAGACGACGTGACACGAACCGTGGCGCCGGGCCCTGCTGTCAGCCCGACCGGCGCAGAGCACCACAGTCGCAGCGGTCATCACGCCGACAGTGGCCGGTGACGCTGACGCAGGGCCCGCCAGGGAGGGCGGGTTAGCGATGCATCCCTCGCCATTATGTGTGCCAGTAGTGCAGAAACTCACAAAAATATGGGCGACATGCGATAAATATGCATGACATCTGGCATACGCATCTGTGGAAATGCATTACAGCTGTGTATATGGTTTAAATCACATGTGATGCGCCCCAAATCTCACACAAAAGATGTTGATGTAGGGCACAAGTTTCCTCCTTTTAAAGTTTATATCTAGCCGCCACCGACACATCAGAAGTGGGTAACGGCCATCTCACGGAGCGTGGACTCACATTGCCATCCTTGTCGGTGTAGTACCAGCTGACACCGCAGTCGGAGTCGCCCTGAGCTTCCAGCGCCATGCGCAACACCTCACGGTCGAACGGGCCGACGGCGGCCTCTGGCAAGTTGACGTCCAGCACCTCGACACCGGGCCCGCCATCTCGTGACGTGCCGGCAGCCATAACTTCCGTCTCCAGCCGTTCGGCGTCGCTGGTGGTCCGCACCATAGTCGTTCCGCAGCCCCTGCCGCAGCGGACGCAGGCACACCTCAGTGCTGGCGGATGCATGACGAGCGGGCTTGGACGCCGATCATGTTACACAGCGGCCAGTTCACTCGCACGGGCCAGGACTACTTGCTGACGCCTTGGTAAAAAAGGATTCCATGAAAAGCTACCGACATTATTCCAACGAGCCGTGTTTAGAGATTACTGCGCCGTACTATTCCTCGCAGCGCAGGCAACGACCCATTCAAACTCCACCTTTTTGTCTCACAAACAGCGCAGCAGACTTCGCCGGCGAGTGACAAAATAGCGTCTGGAACCCATAAGCGTGAGGTCGCGTTGTCCCAAATAAACGGCCCGGAGTGACAGCGTCTGCGTCACTCCGCCCGGCAAAACACCGCCGCGCCGCGCGCCCCGCTTTTTTAGGTGACCGCAGCGCGCGCTGGCAGCGTGTTGTCCACCCACGACCCCGGCCGCACCCACCGCCGTCTTCTAGGGCGCGGCTGGCCCCGGCCGCCGTCGGGTGAGAGCGCCAACTGCGCACGTCGGTAGGACGACTGCGGCGACCGCGGCGCGCAGCCGCAGGAGAGCAGGCGGGCGCGTGGAGGGGCGGGGCGCGCAGGGTTTCGGGAAGTCGACTTTGTTTGCATAGCTGAATGTGGAGGTCCGACGTGAGCTGCACGCGACTGGTGCAAAACGTCCGGAAACGCAAGCTGAGCGAGCAATGTAAACCCCCGCGGCATTGTTCGCTGCCTGCGGTGCAACGCGGGCGCGGGATCAGGCCTTCGACCTCTGACCGCTCGAGTCGCTCACTTGTTGGTGAAGTCGACCTGGAACTGGCGGTCGAAGCGGCGCACGATGCCGGGGATGTAAGGCTCCGTCTCGGGCTCCGTCGGCCCCGCCTGGCCGTCCTCCACGCCAGCCGCTGTAACGGACCGACACCCAAGGTCACCACACGGCCCATGCCGCGGGAAAGGCGACACGACCGCGCTTGCGCCGTGGCTTAATCGGATCTAGCGACCGGCGCGCGCTTCTCCTCCCAGCATCGACACTCCACGGGGCGGAACGCATTACCAGACAGGCAGCCAAACCCTTGCCGAAACGTGCGCCTAGTGCGGCGGCGGTCCTCGCAGCTCTTCCCCACACTTTACGAAGCGACTTTTCACAGTCCAGGCGCCGTCCTTGTTTGGCTGGCTCAGGCCTTCGTTCCGCCATCGGTATTTTCGCATGGAATACATACGCGCAACGTCGTATGTATTCCACTCCATGCGCCGTTGGTCCGTGTGGCCGAGACTGCCGGCGCCCGGGAACTCACATTAGCCGTACTCCGAGACTGCCGGCGCCCGGGAACTCACATTAGCCGTACTCCGAGACTGCCGGCGGCCCGGTACTCACATTCGCGGTACTCTGAGACTGCCGGCGCCCGGGTACTCACATTCGCCGTACTCCGTGACGTTGACGCGGCAGGTGTAGCGCGCGTGCACCTGCTGGGACTTGGGCAGGTGGGCGCTGAAGCCGTTGTGGACAGCGCGGATCACCTCGCTGGTCAGCGACTCCATCAGGTTGCTCAGCTGCGGCACCCGGGCCACCAGTCTGCGAACAGGGCGGGTACGGTCAGGGCGCGAAGCCGACACAGAGGCGGCCGCCGACGGCGACAGGAGCAGAGAAGGATGGTCGTGCACGCCAAGCTGAACAGAGCGCCATACCCCGTCCCCGGGCAGAGAGGAGCGTCTAATGAACGGGAGGCGTGCGCCGGGTATCGCTTCGGGAACCAAACAGGCGACGTGAACAGGAACGGAGATGGCGGTGAAGATATCGTGGAAGGTTTCGCGGCCTTTCTAAGAAATTCATCGCAGGCAGACCAGCCTTGTAGTCGACACCGATTCGTGAAGCAAACCGGTTCACGCGACAGCCAGCCCACCAAAACAGAACATGTGTATACAACCATGTTATTCGTTACTTCACCTCAAACACAGGGCCTCACCAATCGAAGGCCAGTGATGACGTCAGTCGCGCCATAAAAAGCTATGTTCCGTCAAGGGCGATCTAGTTCGCTGCGCCCATGAACAAGCACGTCTGTTGTTTCAGGACCCGTCCACTGTACACTGATCTAGCGCCTGTGACCAGTTCGGTACACGCGTCCTCCGGCCTCCAGCCTGACCTCGCCGGACCGGACAGCCAGAGCTGACGTCGCTGGCGTCGTCCGGTGACGTCAGCGTGTGCGTGGCACGGACCGGGGGGCGGGCAGCGGCGAGCCCTCGTGACCTCCGCCAGACACAAACACAGACGCGGCGCTGCCGCCGGCTGTCACAGAAGCCCGCATTCCTTCACCAGCGCCAAACAGCTTGCGACGCGCCCATCGCTTTTTGCCCGGGTTGCAAAGGCCGTTGACTTGACAGCGCATCTCCCCCCCCCCCCCCCGCCCCCTCGGATCGGATCGGATCGAGCTGCTCTAGTTGGAGAGTGGTGAACAGTGCCTTTGTCTCACTAGAGTGTCGATACGCAGGTTCTGGTGAGAGCACGAAAGAAAAGGCGAGAAATATGAGGCAAAGGATCGGCAAAAAGAAAGGCAGACGTGGAATTACTGACGCACGACAAGGCCAAAACCAGCTGAGCATCGCTCTGACTGCCCCAATTGCGTACTGGCCACAGCGAAAGGGCACGTTCCAACAACCGCCACTTCTCTGCACAAGCGGTTCGGTTGCTTTTTGATGCCGGCGCCGACTGGGCCTGACCCGGCAGCGTCTCACATCGGTCAGGGCACGTCCCGACACGCACCCTGCCGGCAGCCGCGCCATCCGTGGCCCTGGCGCCACTGACCTGCGGTAGATGCTGCGCACGATGGTCCAGGGCAGCGTCCAGGGCAGAGCCAGCACCAGCAGATGCCGCACGCCCGGGAAGTCGAGCACCCAGTTCCGGAAGAGCCGGCGCGAGCTGAGGATGTTCTGGTACAGCGGCTCGTGCACAGAGTCCGGCAGCCTGGCCACCATGGCCTCCTGCGGCGGGACGGTGGGACGGTGGGTTAGGGGTGGCGGGGCACGGGTCTCCGCCGGCGCATGACCCCGGCGCCCGGGATGGAGGTCAGGCAGGCTCTACGCAACGCATCAAGCTAGTGGTTGACACGCCGCTGACCCGCCTCGCAAGGCCGGCGTGTAGTGCGGACAGAGAACAGATGCGCGAACAATTAGAAATCTGGCGGGTGTGCGAGCCAGAACAGCGACCACGGCGCCCGCCCGGTGCCCTCCCCAATCTCCGCGCGAGCCGCCGCGCAGCGGGCTGCAACGCGACGTATGCGGATCAAATCGCGCTCACTGGTTGAGCGTTGATAATCGATAATCAGCACGCACGCCTAACAACAAACAGAAACGGTTTACAGCAAGCAGTGACTACGAGAGCGAGGAAGCTCCGAAAGAACTCGCGGCCGCGCGCCCTAACCTGCTGTTTGGTGCAGCAGTCGTCGCAGTGTACGTGCTGGATGAGCCGGCCGCAGCTGGAGTAGGCGCGGCCCACGATCTCCGTGGTCAGCACGCACATCTGGCACTTCATCAGATCGTGACGCATCAGGAACCGGATGCCGTCATTGAACCCCTGCAACATTTAAACCGGATGCCATCGTTGAACCCCTGCAACATTTAAACCGGATGGCATCGTCGAACCCCTACATTTAAACAGACTCACTTACTGCTACATGCCCACCCATTCGCAGCAGCGAAAGTCGTAGATAATGGTTAAGCAGCGACAGCCAGATCGCTAGCGAGTCTGCTGCAAAACATTTTGATCTACATTATGACGGCTATGCATCACCGCATCAAATGGGTAGTGGTTTAGTTCACGCATAAAACAGTGAACACTAGCAGAGCAGCAGAGGCTCGTGCTTTACCAGCACCAGCACCAGCAGCGCTAGGCTCGCGCCTCAGCCAGCCCTCCCAGCGCTGGTATGTAGGCCGGGGGCCGCCGCTCACCTGGTTGGCGAGGTCGGACAGCGTCTCCGGCGAGGGCGGGTACATGATCATGAAGACGCGCAGCAGGTTCTCGGGCGTCATCTCCACCCGTGTGTTGGCCGCGTCGATCTGGGGACCGAGAGCTTGCGCGTCACCATGGCCCCCGCCCCGGTATGACGGCCCTCGGCAGCACCGCAGGCGGCCACCCCTAAGTCGGAGAGAAGTCCAAACTTGCCCCGATGAGTGACGACAGTGGGTAACGTTTGAGCGCGGATGCAGAACATGATCCCGTACCTTACGTCAGTTACCATACGACAAAGTGCCACCCTTCAAACCACGCCGGAGGTACGCCCGCAGCCCCAACCAGCGAACCTTACACCACCCCAGCTGACCCCAAATGACCCCGAAAGGCCTGAGATGCTGGCAGCGGACTGCTGCATATGGGGCTCGGCGCCGGACGAGCGCGGCCACTCACCACAGTCAGACTGAGCGAACGGTCACGGGGACAGATGTCGGCCTCTCCGCAGAACGGGCTGACGGTGATGGTGCGGTCGTCCAGCGTCGGCAGGTTGTTGCTGTAGCAGCCGTCCATGTAGCGTTTGCCAGCGAAACGCGGCGGCCGCCAGCCGGAGAAGGCCGGGATGAACGCCGTGCACATCAGCGCCTGGGGGAAGGGGCAGAGCAGGCTCGGGTCACGTCCGGACTCAGAGTGGAGGACCGCATGGCGACCGATTGGACAGCGAACCAGCCGGTGGGAGGCATACTGCAGGCGGCTCAACTTCAGGTCCGTCGGTAAAAACGCACTTGGTGTGTAAGCTTTCAGACTGTGAAAGGAAGCCCAAACATTTGATATGCCTTGTGAAAGAAAACCTAAGCATTTAAGTCGCCCAATTCCCAAGATCAGGAAAATGGTGACCCAGGTCCTAAAAGTAAATCGTACGGACCAGGCTGCAGTGAAATTAGGAAAGTGCGCACAACGCGACAGATATTGAACATGGCGGGAAGCACGGTCATAAAGCATAGGCTGTTTGGCACTTTTGTTCGACCTTTTGGGGCAAGTGTTTCCAGAGCCCTGGCCACTGGTTTTTCCGTGAATACGCCAGTCATTACCAGTTAAGATCGGAGACAATTTCCTGGCGGGCTAGGAAGAAAAACAAAAATTATACGCGTTCTGCCGGGGCCACGTACAATTAACAATGCACGTCAAAGAGCCCTTCGCCGCCACCATGCTCGAAAATCGCTTAAACAGAGGCACGCGGCGCCCGGCCGTGGACCGCGCCACGCACCGAAATCAGCTCCTCCTTGGACTCGAAGTGGGAGAGGATGCAGTTCTGGCCGTCCTCCAGGCGGGTGACCGAGACGTGCAAACGTCCTGAGCACAGGACGTGCGCGTTGTCCGGCAGGTTCTGCGGGCGACCAGCGCACGTCAGAGCAGGGTTGCGCGAGGCGATGGCAGCTGACGGCCGCGCAGAGCACCCCCGCGGTAGGAGCGCGGACGCTCCGCGAGAGACAGATTGGGGAAACCTGCTGAAAAAGTCCGCCGCACACGAGTCGGACGCGTTGATTGGGCTCGCTAGATAGAGCCCCGGCGGTGGGAATCCATGACAGTGCCCGGCCAAGTGCTGGGTCTTGCCAGCGCGTCATCGCAAAAACCAAACTGATCCGCTGACGGCATCGGACTGAAGGTCGTCAGAGAACACAGACAACACGCGAGCTACACGCACCGACTCGACTTTTTCGGACTGATAAAAACGACAAATAATCTGTGCTAGCGCACCATGATACGCCGCGATACGCCTATCACGCGGCTGCAGGCTCTGACCCCGGGTCCGCCCCGTCGCTTCGCTGGGCCAGCCAGCCACGAGTGACTCAGAGCTGGGAGTGGCCGGGCCACCCGGTCGCGCACGTCCGGGGCCTCACCTTCTGCAGTCCAGCGTGCAGCATCGCCGGCACGGAGACGAATGGACTGAACGGGCCGCCCATGTGCGCCTGGATGACCCGGGCCACGTTCACCAGGTCAGACATGATCTCACCTGCGGGCGAGGGGGAGGTCGTGACAGGGGTCATCGGGGTGGCGCTCCGGGGTCGGCCGCGCCCGCTGACCCCGCCGGCCGGTGAGTAAACACGGTCGCGGAGAGCGGCGAGTAGTAGGCAAAGGTCACCACCGGAGCACGGGCGGGGACAACGACCGTGTTGCGGCTAGTTGACACAGTCAACATGAAGCTTCGCCGCAACGAAGCGACGACTGTCAACAGACCCTGGACTGGGCCTCTACAATATGTTGCATAACGCGGCATGCACTGCCGCTCGAGAGGCTTGCTTATCCTCAATGCGCCTCGCTTGGTATCCCCTTGAAACCATGATCGCATGCGTCATGAGCGAGGAGCAGATCGGGATCCAAGGTGCCTGGCCTCCGGCGGGAGCCTGCACCTGGGGTGGAGTACACCGGGACTGCCGAGGTCATAGTCTGTCCCCGAGGCGGTGCAGTTGTAAGCCGCGTGGTCGATACGGCGCATCTCAGATACAGCGCCTGTGTTGCCAACCGAATACAGATTGCAACACGTCCATCATCATGACACGACAAAATTATGGGGAAAGCGTGGCATAAAGCTTGCCAGTTGGTATTACCTCAATAGCCGTGCCACATGGTGTCAAAGACTGACTTGAAGTATGTGAGTGAGTACGCGATGTTACGATTGTTTTCAGTTTGCGATTTTTTTAGTTTGAGCCTCGGAAAAAGGAAAGCCGGCAGCCTGAGACGGCCAACTGTGGCCGCCGTGACCGAGACGACGCACTCACTGAGGCTCGTCTGGCAGATGAGCGCCGCGGCGGCGATGGCGCCGGCCGAGGCCCCGGCGATCCGGTTCATCAGCAGCTCCGGGCAGTAGCGGCGCATGCAGGCCGCCACGCCGATGTGGTAGACGCCGAGGAAGCCGCAGCCGGCGAAGCTCAGGTTCATCTGGCTCAGCTTGTCGGCCACCGACGGCCGCGACGAGGACGAGTGCAGCCGGGGCCTGCGCGGCTGCTCGTCCGGCTCGCGGGGCCTGCGCGGCTGCTCGTCAGGCTCGCGCGGCGCGGCCGTGTCCGCCGCGAACTGCACAGTCGCTCGACGCGGCAGCGGTGGCGCCACCGTCGCCACCGCCGCCGCCGCCGCCGCCGGCTCGTCCGACTCCTGGGTCATGCTGGGGGTGCTAGCACGGGCGCGGCCGCTGGACGGGTCTCCCGGAACCTGTCGGCGACGGGGAGGAGGCGGGAGGTCAGATGACGAGCAGAGTTGCGGCGCGGCGCCGAGGCGGCGAGCTGTCGAGCTGTGCGGAACGACAGAGAGCGGCAACGTAGATCACACCTCCTTGTTAGAGGGCCATCGGGCAGTGTGGTGACGCAGCTCACGAACCGCATACATCAGGAACAACCCGGAAGACGACTGAGAACGTATCGCGGAAGGACTTAACACGGGGCTGGATGTTGACAGTTAAATATCGGTCGGCACTGCTCCGCTTTCCTGACATTTGCGTGTTAAGCATTTCTGAATGTTGACACTTAAGTTCGGCAGCGTGATAGCAAGCATTGCTGATCTTTCAGTTACATCCAGTTTAACCACCAACAACCACAATTGCGGCCTGAGGGCGTTGGGCGCAAGTACAGTGACCTCAACGAAACGAAACAAACTGATAGCAGCCAAAAAACCAGTTCACATTACCGGAGCGGCCAACCCGTCCATACACACCAATGTGCTGAGGACACGACGCCGCCGTTCTCTGAACGCCGACCACACACGAACGTGCCGCCCAGCTGGCACAATTCCAACAGGTGGTGGCGCGTCCCACACGGGTCATTGGAGCCTCCGCGCGGTGTACAGGCGGGTCGGGTGGCACCGTTCCGGGCCCGCCACACATGTGCGGCGAGGCCTGAATGTGACCTTGACTGCGGGACGAGCGGCATTAACGCGACAGTGGGAGGTTATATCAAGGGAGTGGCGCCCGGCGTCCGGGGCCGGACTCGCTCGGCACGTAACGCCTGGGACCGTCGAACGCGGCTGACCTAGCTTAACGGTACAGCTGGCAAGCCGCTGCAGCGGTTCTTCCAACCGTTCAGCGGAAGCTAAGCAGGAAATGAGCCAGGAGCGGTACACACTTACACAAATTAAAAGACGTCAACAGATGAGAGTAAGGTGTGATAGTACACAAGTGAAGTGCCATGAAATCGCGTCGACCACTCACCTTGTCCACGCAGCGCAAAGAGCGGCCAACCTTTCACAGACTCTTCGTAAACTTTCTTCAAGCTTTCTGAACTTGCGTGCCGGGTGTGTCCGACGCAAGAGCTCCGCGTCACCTCTCCTCGCCCCCGCAGTCCCCACTGATCTACCGCCGCCGCCGCCTTCGTCCTTTTTACGCACCAGGCCCCGCCGCTCGGACCACTATCGACCGACGACGTCATAGCCAAGCCGCCCGCGCATTGGCTGGCACAAGGGCCGGTGGTTGTGACGTCACCCCGGATGCCCCGGGCGGCGTGCTCCTGCTTCGACCGAGGGTTCGCGCCTACCCTGTGCGACTTTTGGAACAGGAAGGGACCAGAGCCCTAAACCTCTCATGAACATTTTGGTTACCCGAGGGTGTGATGAAGGAGATGTTTTGCTTCGTTCGGCCGGGATGTTTTCCCAAAGGAGCATATGAAATGTTTGGTAAGTACAAAGAATGAAGTCCCAGCGTCTTCATAGACTATCCATGCGTCGGGAAAGCCGTCCAAAAGGCCAAATTAGGAGCATCGGTTGTATAAATGATCGGGGGGGGGGGGCGGAGGTGAAAGCCCAGTGCCCGACGAACTATTCTGTCCAAATGTGTGTGTCTCAGTTGGTATGATCTGCTTTCTTTTCACCAACAGTAATCTCTTAGCTTGCAGTAATCTCTTATTTTCTCAACCAAGTTTTGACGAACGGTGATTTGCTTCATTTTTTCTGTATACTGTATCAATTGGTCTTTAATTCAAGTAATATCGAAACAACATTGGCCCCAAGGGGTCCCAGATTTCGTCTGAGGTCTCAGACTGGTCGTCTGGGTTTACGGTGGGTGGTCTCCTCACCTACGATTGCGGCATGCCTTGATGGGAAGCTAGCCAAATGCGTTAGATGGTTGTAAAGGGTAACTAGGCGGAACTCGTTGCGCCTCGAAAAGGCAAGATTGCAGCACTGTTACTTCTGTTTTATCTCTAAAGCTAGGTTGAATGACAATGTGGCACGCATATCTCTGCCTACTTATTCAAATGGGTTATATAAAGATAAAAAGTTTTAATGTGAAGCCTTGACGAAAATGAACTGAGCTGAGAGCTAAGCGCGTGGCATGGTGCACCCACTCTAAACATGTATTTGTGTGCACATTTATTTTTCCCGGGAGCTTTATGTTCACTTGGTTTCATTCTACGACGCTTTTGCTTCACGATGAGACATAAGGGAAGCAAGTACATGAGAGTGGTGCTTGCAGTTCTCTTATGTGTTGCTCTACACTGCTATAGCCGATTGCCAAGCCTTAAAGTGGTCGTATACTAGTTGCCTGTGATATGTTTGGATTAACGCCTGCGTTTGGAATCCAAATATAATAGTCATTATAAGGACGTTTGTAACAGAAGACCGTTCTGGTGCTCGATGAACGCTCGATCTCTTCACTCTGCAAGCTATCTAACGAACAGCCGTCTGCGTCTTCCAACGACAACGTTGCCGTAGAAAGACCAGGCATCGGCTCATCGATTTTCAGTCTTTACCCGAGTGAGTTCCAACAGAACTTCGCCAGCTGGCGGAATATGTGCGGCCGGCGCCGAAAAATGGGAGATACTAGGCCTCATGCTCCTTCAAAACAGAAAATCAGACACCGGCTATCAACACGCGAGTGTCATGAACTGACCGTCAGAAAAGGGTGACAAACAACGAGAGGTGGGCGCGCGACGTGAGCAGCTGGCTACCGGAGACGGGCCACTAAAGGTAGACAGCTGTGCCGCTCTGGCAGTGCTGTCTCACACACATTGTCGCATGGCACATACTCCTGGCAGGCACGTGCTGGATTACAGAGCTGCGAGATCAAGAGCGTCACAGTTTCACGAGGATGTGTTGTGAAGTAACGGCAGCAGATGACATTGAGCCGCTGACTTCATCGGCGCCAACTGCACGCAGCGCACCATCTGCGCGGCAGCACACGATTGACGCACCCTGCCCGTGGTGGGTTGGAAAGGGACCAGGTGACTGGGGAGACGTTCCAGACCCAGTTCTCGCCAGCAGCACCACCAGCAGCACACTGCATCCGCTCCAGCTACAACAGCGAGTCAGTCAGCGACGAATCCAAACCTGCACGCGCACGCGTTTGTGGCTGCTCTCGCGGGGCAGTGACTGTGACTCACCCTCAAATATTAGGGAGTAATGACTCGGCCCGGAGATCGATACACTGGAGAGCTCTGGACACCGTCACACGTCTGATTCATAGCGCAATCCCGGGGGCCAGGCCCTGGAGCGAACCGGCGGAATAGGGCCAGATAAGCGAGCTAATCAGCCGGCTTTGTTGAAAAGTGTACCACATACGCGTCACGATGGTGTGATGTTTATTGCAAATGCGAGCTCAGCGCTCCGCTCATTTTTCGTGATTTTAGTGCAATCGCTCACATGGCAGACGTTTGTAGGATGCACGTTTGTGGGATAAAGATCGCCACTCAAAAAATCTTCCTTTAAAGGTTCGGATAGGACAACAGTTCCTCCAGAACAAGAGTTCTTGGTGCTCAAGCCCGTGTAGAGGCAAAAGAAAAGGAAAAAATCATTCACGACCGGGGATATTAACACTCCTCTTTTAACCCGCTCTCCGGTTGGGGTCAGATTGACCTCCCCCCCCCCCCCCCGCTCTCGAAGGTTTTTCCAGAATGGTTTCCGAGCCGCGCGGCGTAGCGGCGCCAAAATTTGCTTAGCTGTAGACAATTGAATAGTGGATCGCTTGGTGTCAAAAATTTAGATGTTCCTTGTAAGGTGACTGACCTATAGCAGGTCAAAGTCAGGCCATGGTTTCAGCGAAGTCCATTTCTAGGAAATCGTTCAATCTCATGTAACCACGAAGTGTTAGACGAAGTCATACATCTCTGAGATGTATTCTTAGACCACACAACAATTGAATGAGCAGATAACATCGATCTTAGATCAGGTATGAAGGCCAGACCAAGGTCAAAACCAACCTGGTTTATTGCCGTGGGGCTTGCTGTATGGGACAGTTTCTGGTGCTCATTTCGAATCTATTTATAGCAGGAACCACATTCTGCATTTGCATGGGCTTCCTAAAGGCCAGAATGAGTCATTAATCAAAAATACCCCATGTCAACATCTTGTTTTTAGGAATATGCTCCCTAGCGTAATCTTTGTTGCTTATTCAAATGCAACACTCAGAGCAGTCTAGTATGATTTTGGTCACCATAACCTCCAAAAGGCCAAAAAAAGTCACTGGCCTTAAATTGGCATGTGACCGTTTGCTTAGAAATATATATCTAGGTTCTGCGGGCACTTTGGAAACCAACCTAGAATTTGACCTTGTTTGACCTTATTTGACCCAAAGGTTATGACCTCAGGAGCCTCAAACTTTGATCTATGCGAGTTCACGTACAGGTCAACACACCCTGTGAATTTGGTGTCTCTAGGTTTCTTAGCTCCTGAGATGTTAGCGAGGTCAACTTGACCCCCACCCAAGCGAAGGGTATCCAGCTGGCCACCCGACCGCATGTTAAGGTTGAAACAAAATGTCTCGTGTTTCGGGGTTTCTCAATATATAAACATGTATGGCTCCCATCTAGCTTCTGGTCTATATCCCATGTTTCACAAAAGCATTATTTTGTTGAAAAATCATGATCAGAAAGGCTTATCTGAAAGTGCATTGCTTAAAGACTGGGTGTTATATATCGCCCCAATGTGACCCTTTTAAAGCCTATTGAGTCTCTGTTATGCTTGAGTTGGCTTCATATGCATGGATTCTGGAGCCCCCCCCCCCCCTCCCCCTCCTCCCTCTGAGCAGTTTTGAGAGCGCTCCCCAGCACCGACAGTCTGGAGAGCGCTCCCACAGCACAGCAGTGTAGCGAAAGCTGTGGACCGCGCACCCACACCCGTAAAACACTCCCACGGCACAGCAGTGTAGCGAAAGCTGTGGACCGCGCACCCACACCCGTAAAACACTCCCACGGCACAGCAGCGCAGCGAAAGCTGTGGACCGCGCACCCACACCCGTAAAACACTCCCACGGCACAGCAGCGCAGCGAAAGCTGTGGACCGCGCACCCACACCCGTAAAACACTCCCACGGCACAGCAGCGCAGCGAAAGCTGTGGACCGCGCACCCACACCCGTAAAACACTCCCACGGCACAGCTGGCGCAGCCGCAGCGCACGCTGTGATGTCACCCAGACTGGTCATCATTCCAGTACAGCTGGGTCATGGATCTTAGATCATGGGGTAGAAGACACCGTGAGCGCTGCGCCGACCTGCAGGTCGTTTCTTGGGGGCTCACTGAATCACGTCTCGTATCTGCATAGAGTCATAGATACCAAATCGTGGTGGATTAATAGATACCAAATTTTACAGGCTAGTAACAAATGCCAAACAAATTTGATTCTGATTTCAGAATGGAGTGTTTTACTGAAATAATTGGGAGATCGATTACAGAAAAACACGCCTTGAATCGGAATATAGGGGGTTTACTTGATACCTACAGGGTATTCCACATAAAATGTCCATGTTACAAGTGCAAGTAAAGATGCTCAAAAAGGCCAAGCACGTGTTACGTGGCAAGTATTGTTGCAAAAAAAGACATGCATATATATATATATATATATATATATATATATATATATATATATATATATATATATATATGTATATATATATATATATTGCTATCTTTCATGCAATCATTGTGGGGTCTGGGAGGAAGGGATGCAGACCTCCGTCCATGCGCTCAGGGGCAACTGGAGCTGGAATGGATGCCGATTCTGAATGCATCTATAGCGTGATGCACTGGCATTGTTGTTCACGTTACCAGATCTAGATCGGGCACAAGTTCGTGCCAGGGGCAGACCTTTGTGATATGGGTTTTTGTCCGCGTAAACTTTAGCCACATACGAACTTCTGCGATTTGGACTTTTGCATTAGACGAACTTTTGCCTAAACGAGCCTTTGCGCAAGACGAACTTGTGGCATGCGAATTCTTGTTATAGACGAACGTTTGTCCAACACGAACTTTTGCGGTTGACAAGCTTCATGCAGGTGATTTTTTGTCTGTCAGGCGGATTTTTGCAAACGACGAACTTTCTCCGAAGAACCTTTACCCAAAGCAATGATTTCACCGTCAAACTTCTCTCCTACCA